CAGGTGGAGCTTTTGATTGGCATGAATATGCCCAGAGCTCTAGAACCTTTGGAGGTCATCAAGAGTGAAAATAATGGACCTTTTGCCATTAAAACTGTGCTTGGCTGGACAGTAAATGGGCCACTTGACCGAGAATGTTGTAAAAGACCAGGTTGTCTGTCAACAGTCATCATGAACAGAATTTCTGCTGTTACATTGGATAACCTATGGAAGCAACAATTCAAGATAGATTTTCCTGAGAGCAGCCACGATGAGCAAATGGGGCTGTCAAAGGAGGATTCCAAGTTTCTGGAGTTGGCCAGTAAGACGGTAACCTTGTGTGATGGACACTACAGCATTGCCCTGCCTTTGAGAGACCGAGACATAAGAATGCCTGATAACCGTGCAATTGCTGAACAATGTGCCTTAAGCTTAAAGAAAAGGTTACTCAAAGATAAAGACTTCCACAAAGATTATACTGCCTTCATGAAAGAGCTCATATCCAAAGGTTATGCAAAAAGAGTGCCAACCACAGACTTGAAGCGCAGTGATGGAAGGGTTTGGTATATCCCTCACCATGGGGTGTACCATCCTACCAAGGGAAAGATTTGGGTCGTCTTTGACTGTGCTGCATCATTCCAGGGTGTTTCTCTCAATGCACAACTTCTGAGTGGTCCCGATTTAACAAATAGCCTGGTTGGTGTGCTGACTAGGTTCAGAAAAGAGCCTGTTGTTTTGATGTCTGATATTGAAGCCATGTTCCATCAGGTGCATGTGCCTGAGGAAGATGCTGACCTATTGAGGTTTCTCTGGTGGCCTGGTAGTGACTTCAATCAGATCATGCAGGAGTACCGGATGGGCGTTCATTTATTTGGAGCAACATCCTCTCCAAGTTGTGCCAACTATGCCCTGCGGAAATGTGCAGAAGACAACAAAGCAGATTTCAGCCAGCAGGTGATTGACACCATTCTGTATAGTTTCTATGTGGATGACTGCCTTGCCTCAAAATGCACTGAAGAGGAAGCCATATCTCTTTACTCAGACCTCAGACTCATCTGTGCCAAAGGCGGCTTCCACTTAACGAAGTGGATAAGTAATAGCCGCAGCGTCCTGGCAGTAATACCTGAAGAGGAAAGAGCTAAAGAGGTTAAAGACCTAGATCTAGATTGTGACCTCTTGCCTGTTGAGCGAGCATTGGGAGTATGGTGGTGTCTGCAGTCAGATGCATTTAAATTCTGCATATCCATCCCAAACAGACCTTTGACCCGAAGAGGGATCCTTTCCACTGTCAGCACCTTCTATGACCCCTTGGGATTCTTAGCTCCTGTTATTTTCATAGCTAAAAGAATCCTTCAAGACCTGTATCAGAAGGGGATAGGATGGGATGATGCTATTCCATCAGCTGTTGCTCAAGAGTGGGAAAGCTGGATGGAAGAATTGCAACTGTTAGACAACATCAACATCAGAAGATGCTTGAAACCTACTGATTTTGGAAAAGTAACCATCGCTCAGTTGCACCATTTTGCAGATGCGAGTGAGAAGGGGTATGGTGCTGTTACCTACCTATTGCTGCAGGACAGTTTCTCCCAGATGCACCGTTCCTTCATAATGGGGAAGTCCAGGTGGCACCTTTAAAACCAGTCACAATTCCCCATATGGAATTGACGGCAGCTGTATTGGCAGTTCGCATGGACATACTGAGGAGAAGAGAACTAAGGCTATCTCTCCTTGATTCGGTGTTTTGGACAGACAGCACCTCTGTATTGAAATACCTCAATAACAAGACTTCCAGGTTTCGTGTTTTTGTGGCAAACAGAGTGTCAGAGATTCTTAGGGCTTCTGACGCCTCCCAGTGGAGATATGTGAATACAACAAATAACCCAGCAGACCTCGCTTCTAGGGGTATGAAGGCAGAGCCTTTTCTACATGACACTACATGGTTATCTGGCCCTGCATTTCTCACACAGCCAGAAACAGATTGGCCTGTCAACCCAGAGAAAATACAAGAACTTCCACATGAAGATCCTGAAGTCAAACTGTCTGCTTCTGTTGGTGTTTCCCCTGCACAAGACGACGATCATCCCTTGGCTCTTTTGATTCATCGTACTTCATCTTGGACCCGTCTTGTCAGAGTGATGGGTTGGATTTTGAGATTTAAAACATTGCTCTTGCATCACAAGAGAAACAAGACACATTTCCAGCCTGCATCTGAAACAACCCAGTCTGAAGGTGCTCATTACAGGGTTGAGCTCCGTACTGGCTTTCTTTCATTAGGAGAGATTGAGGATGCTGAGATGCAGATAATCAAGTTCTGTCAGAAGAAAAGATATTCTGAAGAAATCTCCTGTCTCCAAAAGGGAGAGAACGTCAAACGAAGCAGTCACATATACAAGTTAAATCCCGTTTTGATGGATGATGTGCTGCGTGTTGGAGGGCGTCTCAGTAGGGCTGTCATGTCTGAAGATTCTAAGCATCCTATCATTGTTGCTAAAGATCTTCATATTGCTGACCTTATTCTTCAATGCATCCATAAAGGGGTGGGTCATGGTGGTAGGAACCACATACTTTCAAAGCTCCATCAGAAATATTGGATTCCTAGTGCTGGTGCATTGATTAGAAAGATCATGTCGAGGTGTGTGACCTGCAGACGGCTTCATGGAGCTGCAGGCCAGCAACAAATGGCTGACCTGCCTGAAAGCAGAGTAACCCCTGAGAAACCCCCCTTCAGTTTTGTTGGAGTGGACTATTTTGGTCCATTTGAAGTGAAGCATGGGAGAAGTCTTGTGAAGAAATATGGAGTTATCTTCACATGTTTGGCGATCAGAGCAGTACATATTGAGGTTGCCTCATCTCTTGACACAGACTCTTTCATTAATGCCTTACGACGTTTTATTGCAAGGCGAGGTCAAGTACAACAGCTGCGGTCTGATAATGGTACCAACTTTGTGGGCGCAGAGCGTGAGCTGAGACGAGCTATTGAAGATTGGAATCAGGAAAAGATCTCTGATGCGCTGTCACTAAAGGGAGTGGAATGGATCTTCAGTCCTCCAGCTGGGTCGCATCATGGTGGAGCATGGGAGAGCATTTGTTCCATCAGAAAGGTCCTTAATTCCACCCTGCAGACACAGCACTTGGATGAGGAAGGACTTCAAACTGCTCTCTGTGAAGTGGAGTCAATCCTTAACAGTAGACCAATTACATTGGAATCCACCGACCCAAATGATCTGGAAGCTTTAACACAGAACCATCTTCTCTTACTCAAGTCTAATCCAGGCTTACCACCTGGTTTATTTCAGAAAGAGGATGTTTATGCACAGAAACGATGGAGACAGGTTCAATATATATCTGACCTGTTCTGGAAGAGATGGATTAAAGAATATCTGCCTCAACTTCAACAGTGCCAAAAGTGGATGAAGATGAGACGCAACTTTGTTCCTGGAGACGTGGTCCTTATAATGGATGACTCTGCACCTCGTGGTTCTTGGATCATTGGCAGAATCACAGAAACTGTGCCAGATAAAAATG